CTACAATCCAATTCCCTGGCTCAATTTTTTCTTTCTTAAATCCAATTAAATCAACCCAGCAAATTATGTAACAAACTTTAAACTAACATTTACATGTAACTTCTTAAGAGAGAATAACATAAGCACATGAGAGCAATTTTTTAACTAATCAAGAAATCAATCAATTAAGAAGAAAACTCAACAAACAGTAAGATCCCAGAATAAAATGAGAGTGGGAGAAATGAACCTTTTTCAAGCTTTATGAATATATCAATAGGAACTAGTTGGCTTACAAAGAAGACGAGAAAATATGCCGATAAGATTGAACACAAATGACATCGTGAGACTGCACCGAAAAACTTGAACCCAACTCAAAAACTCGACTGGACTTGGGTGGCTTTACACAGTTAAAACGACCCTCCGTTCGTCGGCAAATATGGTGCGACGGCAACTATTTTTGGGGTGATTTGGTGCTGCGTTTCAGCTAGCTTTGGGTGGTGTTTTCTATGGCAATTAGCAGCTGACTGGTCGAGGCTGAGGCGCTACTTGCCGTTTTTTTTTTTTTGTTCTTCGTATGTGTGGCTGAGAGTTCTAAAAGTGAGTGTGTGTTTTTCGGCTGGAATTTTTGTTCAAAGAGATGATCATCATCTCTTAGGGGGGTGCTGCCATTCTAGCCTTAGGAATTAGGTTAGCTCCCCCCTTTTTTTGTTTTTTTCATTATGTTTTTATATTGTGGATAGATAGGATAAGTAGATCGATGATTATGATTAAGGAGTGTTTGATGGTGAGAAAAGGATTTGGGCTAAAAGGAATTGGGAAGAATGAGCTTTTGTCTTGCTGAGTCACTAAAATTCGAAAATGAGTTCCAATTGCCCCAAATTTAATTCTTTCTCATTGAAATAAAATAAAAATAAAAATACTACCAAAATATACTAATTAATCTTAGTTAATAAGAATACATTATTAAAGTGAACTATATATTAAAATAAAAATAATTTTGATTTTTTTTAAATGTTATAAATATTATAACATACTAATAAGCTAAAAAAAACGTTATAAAATTATTTTTGTGTTTTCAAACTTATGTTTTAAAATTAAAACTAAAAATTGACTGAAATCCTATTAAAAATAAAAATAAACAAATATTTTTGAAATACTATTTTTAAAGGTTGCGCGAATCAAAAATTACGTGTTTACACCACGACACGGTGAATACCAAAGACACTTAAAAGGATATTTGACATCTAAGAGTAATGATGAAGCTAAGAGCCATGCAAGTTTGTTGCTCTTGACTATTGGCATTTTATAGTATAGCTTCACTAAACCCAACTTTTATGGCAAATGACAACATTCAGCCAACAAATTCTAGTTGATGCAAGCAAGATACAACACTTAATAGTAATGAGGTAACTCAACAATCTTAAAGAATTCTAGCGATATAAAAGTAAGATCTCGATTACATGCATAAATCTTATAAAATTCTTTACGCTATCAGTACAATTTAACTAGTTATAACAATGTACTCACCATCTTTTTATATTATATATCAATCAATGCTTATTACAAAGAGTTATTTGTAATTATTTTTAAAATGAGCTCATTGCGTAAAAATTTAAACTATTTTTACACAATCAGTGAGTAGAAGTTATATAGAATGTATACTCCTCAAACACAATTAGACCAACAACATTCAAAACGACAATCGCATTCCTGTGATTATCCTTTTTACGTTTGTTCAACCTAGCTAGGCTTATTTCGTCCACTCCTCAAAGCCACCAGAAACACAAAACGTAAACGTAAAAGATGAAACACCCATACCATGCGAAATACATGAACAAAAAGAAATACTTGAATAATGTTTTAATGCAAATAAAAAAATTGATGATTGAACAGACATTTCAGAGAAAAACTCAACTTTAATTAACAATGAGAAATGCTTACTTGAACTTTGTGCTTTTTTTCACCTTATGTTGGCTGACAAATGCAAGTGTTGAACTGCACAAACAGAAGAATCATGGCTCAAATCCTATGCTGAGGAGGTACCAAGATTGGCTACAACGACACAGTCGAAAATATGGAAGTAAAGATGAATGGAATATGCGATTTGGAATATATCAATCCAATGTTCAATTTATCAACTTCTTCAATTCCCTCAACCTTTCTTACAACCTCACTGACAATGCTTTTGCAGACATGACAAACTTGGAGTTTAAATCTAAGTATTTAGGTTATAAGAAACATAAACATTCAAAGCAATTAGCAGCACCAAATATCACGTGTGACAGATCTAGTTTGCCTATCAGTGTCGACTGGAGAAAGAGTGGAGTTGTTACACGAGTCAAGGATCAAAAAAATTGTGGTATGTTACAAACCTTTAATTTCTCTTCTTCTTTTTACAACCTCTTTGTTCTAGTTTAGAATATGAGCGGGAGCTACGGTGTTGGTTGCGGGTTCGGCTGGACCCAGTAGCTTTTGTTCAAACCCTATATTTGTATTAGGAAATCCAATGAATATGTACAAATTATTAATTTATAACTCAGTAACTTAAAATGATTATAATTCCGAACCTATTAGGTTCAAATCCTAACTTCGCCTTTGATTATTCTCACATAAGATAATATTAGATTATTTTCTATTAAATGTTTAAGTTAAATTTACACCTTGATGATATCAAAAATATCTCTACGTACGATTAGGTCACTTACAAGATCATTGCATTAGGTGCCACCCAAGATATCAAAGGCCCCAATTTTTGCTACTATTTAGATATAATAAAACTATGTAATACATACAATTATAGTTTTAAATTGTACATTTTTATTTTTGAAATTTGATTGAGGTTATTCAAATGAGAGAACAAATTATACTAAGTTTTATCTCTCACTACTTTAATACATCCCTATTGATTTTTTATTTTTCCTCCTCTGCACATATTCTTTTTTTTTTTCCAAAACGATTTGCCCAAACAAGTTATATATGAATGAATTGCAAATAAACATATGAACTATAAATACATACGATTTTATTTTGCACTTCAAAAAACTAAAAGAATGAACTATAAATAAAAATACATATGAATTGAATAAGTTAAGGTCACTTATTGAAATTTAGCTTTAAGCCACCAATTTTGTTGAGCCGTATGTAGTCAATCATAAGGTAATTACGAGCAAATCTTTATAATAAATATCAATTAGTAACCTAATAATAATAATTAATCTGTAAAAAATTATATTGTCAATATACATAACTTAAGTCCATGTTTCCGATTGCAGGAAGCTGTTGGGCATTCTCTGCAGTAGCAGCAGTTGAAGGCATAAACAAGATTAAAACAGGGAAATTAGTGTCACTGTCAGAACAACAACTAGTGGACTGTGATGTTTACTCAGACAACCAAGGATGTAACGGAGGATTTATGGAAAAAGCTTTTGCTTTCATTAAGAAAAACGGTGGCATAACAACTGAAAAAAATTATCCTTACGTAGGAAAAGATCAGAGATGTAACACTACCAAAGCAAAACAACATGCAGTTACAATAAGTGGCTATGAAATGGTTCCTAAAAATGAGTAATCTCTTCAAGCTGCAGTTACCAAACAACCTATATCAGTGGCCATTGATGCAAGTGGCTATGATTTTCAACTTTATGCTGGAGGGGTTTACTCTGGTTTTTGCGGAAATAGCCTAAATCATGGAGTGACATTAATTGGCTATGGTGTAGATGATGGTGAGAAATATTGGCTAGTTAAGAATTCATGGGGTACTATGTGGGGTGAAGATGGTTATATCAAAATGAAGAGGGGGTCAAATGACAAAAAAGGAATGTGTGGTATTGCTATGGAAGCTAGCTACCCTCTTAAGGAGGAGGAGGAGGAGTCTTGAACCATCAATTTGCAAAAGAAGCCAGATGCCCATATAAATTAGGCCATATCAGTAATAGCTCTATTGTGGTTGCATTTATTTCTTTCAATAAAAGATTATGAAGAACTGCTATCAAATGTGAGGTTTACAATAGAGAACTAGTATAAGGACATGATCTAAATGAAACATAGGTCAGTAATTGTGACTTGTATCTAATTAAGAATTAGAATTGATTAATGAAAAATCTATGATTAGCAAAAAATCCAACTTTCTTCCTTTTCTTTTTTTTTCTTTTCTTTTTTTTTCTTTGCTCTCATTTGAGATTCCTGAACAGAGCCGTGATGCGGGTACCGAATGGGAAATCAAAATTATTATTAGAAAAAAAAATATCTCTGATTTTTCTTTGCTTCACCTTTAAACGTGTACCATTAGTATTAATCATTTTATTCACACCCTTAAGTTTAACTATTAAAAGTTGAGGATCATTCCGTTAGAGTTGGACCTAAACCGACCATAAGCTTATGGGACTATGAATGCCTAAAATTTTACACTCTAGTCACTGGATTTTGTGTTGTCTTTTAACAACTTTTACACAGATTCTTGAATAATTAATCTTTGTTCTACTTTCTACTAATTACAGTCGATACCATTCATCAAAATTTTAATTATACCTTGTAATTGTTCAATTAAGGGAAAACAGATTTTTGACCAAATAACAATGGAGCATGAGATGATTTTAAAAGAATATAATACAAAAAGAAAAGTAATCCTCTCGCTCTTTCTAATAGATCTTTCTAATTCTTAATTTTTTATCAGCCCAATTTTTATTTCTCTTGCGATTCTTTTATTGACTACCTAAATTCCAAAATCTATATGTTATGGTCGTTTAGGAGAAATAATGACAAAAAATAACGCCATACTCATGTTAGCATGTAATCCATATTTACTTTGCTCGTAACGGTTACAAAAGTAAAACAACATATGTCACTCACATGCAGTTACTAAGGTCTTACATACTCCCAACAACTACCTATAAATTTTTACACTCACTATCATTAATATTGGTTTCATCTCTAAATCACAATCATTAAATACTAGTTTCTGTGGTTTCCTATATAAATTGAAGTGATGGTCCTTCTTTCTACACAAACAAAGAAAGAAAAAACACAAGTGAGAGAAATTGTGAAAAATGATGTCCAAAATCTTGAAAGAAGCAGTAATTCTCATGGTAATCACAACAATTGTGGTTTCTTTGGTTTCAGCACAAGTTGATCCATATCATAAGTGTGTTGATGAATGTTACTCAACATGTTTTGCTGACATTGCTGGCTGCTATGAATACTGTAAACAAGAATGTAAACATCCCAATTTTTCTGCATCCAAATTTCATCAATGCTCTGTCGATGCTTGTCTCAAGCTTAAAGGAGGTCTCTCTTTTTCTCTTCCCCTATTTAATTTTATGTCTTTCTATCTATCTATCTCTGTATCTCTCACACATAGTGGCAGAGCTTGGGGGTGGAAGGGGTTCGCCCGAACACCCTTCGTCGAGAAATTACACGGTGTATATAAGGTTAAAGAAAAATTTACATAAACAAAATGTTGAATTTTCTTGACTTCTCCGCATGTTTAATTTATTTTTATTTTTTGAACCCCTTAATAAATTCTTGTCTCCGCTACTACTCACACACCCATTCGCTCTAACTGTGGAGTTATGATTTTGGGGATCTAATATTAAGCTTATTATGATTTAAATTATCTTTGTGCTACTATTAACAAGAATTCTTTATATGACAGATAAGAAGTTGATGGAGGTTTGCCTTAACGAATGTAGGAAGAACACTGATAAAGTCAAAGGTTGAGAAGTACCTCTGACGCTAGATTTATATAGCTGACCACCAAAAAGAGAAAAACTTGTAATAAGATCCTTTGATTTGATGTAATAGAAAGGATGTTTGCGTTCCTACTAAAGGCTTTACCTTTTAAAATAGTGATTGCCTAAATTTGCTACTATGTGTTTCTTATTTTTGTTTATCTTCTTTTCCTTTAGTAGAGAAAATTAAACTTAACTCCCATAATGTTTTTAGTTTGGAAAACAACTTCTTCACTTTTTAAATGGACAGTAAACCCCTTTAATTTAAATCAATGACAAAAGTGCACCTGCCATTGCATGTATTTCAAATTTACAAAGACCTTTTAATTATGATGGACTATTATGATTATACTTTTTTCTTGAAAATGAAAAAGAAATACCTAGAAACACCCGAAAATATTGTATAGAAAATAATTTCATCTAACGGCCCTAAAATTTGAGATAAGGAAATAATCCATCATTCATCTTTTACTTGAAATAAGAATTTAAAAAAACTCTTTTCGATTAACATTGGTTTTTTAAAACTTTAAAATATAGCATATTACTTATAAACTGTATTAACCTTTTAATTTTTATACAATTCTACCCCTTCATTATTGATTACTGAAAAAATAATTTTATAATTTATTCATATTAATTAAGCCTTATTTCCTGACTTTTTGAAGGGGGATTTGTAGCCGTACCCTATATTTGTGTCACATTTTAACCTGTACCTTATTTTTAAAAATTATTGATTTGGTAGCCAGCCGACAAAAAATCTGTAATAATATGACAATTATACCCGTGACAAAAGATATAAAACTTGCATCATGCATTAATCGCGTGATCTGCAACCTCATTCGTGAAAAATTTTACATTGAAGCTAAAACTTCATACTAATGCATGCTGAAGTTATTTATCTTGCAGTCTACAGTTTTGTCATGAGTTTTATCCGAAATTTCAGTCTAAACATTCTGAAATTTTTTAGTTCATTTGCTAAAATTTCAGACTAAACATGCTTAAGTTTTTGTCCTTGCAGTATGTAATTTTCTAATGAGTTTTTGCTAATGCATGCTAAAGTTATTTAGTTCATTTGCTAAAATTTCAGACTAAACATGCTTAAGTTTTTGTCCTTGCAGTATGTAATTTTCTAATGAGTTTTTGCTAATGCATGCTAAAGTTATTTAGTTCATTTGCTAAAATTTCATACCAAAACATGCTGAAGTTTTGTCCAGCAGTCTACAGTTTTTTCATGAGTTTTATCCGAAACTTCAGTCTAAACAAGCTGAATATTTTAAGTTCATTTGCTAAAACTTCAGACTAAACATGCTTAAGTTTTTGTCTTGCAGTATGTAATTTTTTAATGAGTGTTTGATAATGCATGCTGAAGTTACTTAGTTCATTTGCTAAAACTTCATACCAAAACATGCTGAAGTTTTGTCTTACAGTCTATAGTTTTGTCATGAGTTTTATCCGAAACTTCAGTCTAAACAAGTTGAACTTTTTTGGTTCATTTGCTAAAACTTTAGACTAAACATGCTTAAGTTTTTGTCTTGCAGTATGTAATTTTCTAATGAGTTTTTGATAATGCATGCTGAAATTACTTAGTTCATTTGCTAAAATTTCATATCAAAACATGCCGAAGTTTTGTTCTGCAGTCTACAGTTTTGTCATGAGTTTTATCCGAAACTTTAGTCTGAATAAGCAGAAGTTTTTTAGTTCATTTGCTAAAATTTCAGACTAAATATGCTTCAGTTTTTGTCTTGCAGTATGTAATTTTCTAATAAGTTTTTGCTAATGCATGCTGAAGTTATTTAGTTCATTTGCTAAAATTTCATACCAAAACATGATAAAGTTTTGTTCTGTAGTCTACAGTTTTATCAATAGTCTTTTATTAAAGAAGGGCAAAATCATCTTTTTTAAAACACTTTTAACCAAAAAAAACGGGTACGAATGCATACGGAAAAAAAATGGGTACAAGTTAAAAAGGGGCAACCAAATAGGGCGCCCTATGCAATTTTTACCTTTTTGAATATCCGGTTAGTAACTATATCATTTGGCCTTTTGAGTTTGATGTTAATGAGGCCCTCTATATCACTCAATAGGTGGGGGGGGAGG